GGGAAAGGAGGAGGACGACGGCGCGATGAAAACGAAGACGACGACGAAGACGACGACGACGACAACCACGACGACGACGACGACGGCGGCGACGACGACGACAACCACGACGACGACGACGACGGCGGCGACGACGACGACGACGACGATGAGGACGACCGGCGACGAAGACGGGACGCCGCCCAAAAGGGGGGGGGCTTTCTGCGGCCCGAAAATCAACGAATCGACACCGGATGTGTAATCACCTCCAATGTTTTTGCCGGGGATCATTTTCTAGATTTGGGGATTCTTAGAAAGAATCGAAAACGTCGGCGCTGCAGCGGGAGCACGTTTTGGAACAACGAGAGGCGCAGAAATTGGGCCAGCGCTGCAGCGGGAGCACGATTCGGAACGAGCGGGAGCGCGGAAATGAGGCCAGCGCTGCAGCGGGAACACGATTCGGAAGGAGCGGGAGCCCGAAAATTAGGCCAGCGCCTCAGCGAGAGCAGCATTTTAGAAAAAAAACACAAGCGAAAACCCAACTCCGGGGAATCCTGTGTGTAAAAAAAAACAGTACGCGGGGGGGTGCCGAATATCTTCCGGACGCCATCAGGGGAAGTGGGGGAGTATTTTCATATTGTGTAATTGTGGAGGAGGAGGAGGAGGAGGAGCACGAGCAGGAGGGGGGGGAGGGGGAGGAGGGGGAGGAGGAGGAGGAGGAGGGCGGAGGAGGAGGAGGAGGAGGAGGAGGAGGAGGAGGAGGAGGGAGGAGGAGGAGGAGGAGGAGGAGGAGGAGGGGAGGGAGGAGGAGGAGGAGGAGGAGGAGAGGAGGAGGAGGAGGAGGAGGAGGAGGAGGAGAGGAGGAGGGGAGGAGGAGGAGGAGGAGGGGAGGAAGGAGGAGGAGGAGGCGGAGGAGGGGAGGAAGAGAGAGAGGAGGAGGAGGAGGAAGGAGGAGGAGGAGGAGGAGGAGGAGGAGGAGGAGGGAGGAGGAGGAGGAGGGGAGGAGGAGGAGGAGGAGGAGGAGGAGGAGGAGGAGGAGGAGGAGGAGGAGGGAGGTAGGAGGAGGAGGAGGAGGGAGGAAGGAGGAGGAGGAGGAGGAGGAGGAGTGAGGAGGAGGAGGAGTGAGGGAGGAGGAGGAGGAGGAGGAGGAGGAGGAGGAGGAGGAGGAGGAGGAGGAGGAGGAGGGAGGAGAGAGGAGGAGGAGGAGGAGGAGGAGGAGGAGGAGGAGGAGCGAGGAGGAGGAAGGAGGAGGAGGAAGGGAGGAAGGAGGAGGAGGAGGAGGAGGAGGAGGAAGAGAGGAGGAGGAGGAGAAGAAGAAGAAGAAGAAGGAGGAGGAGGAGGAGGAGGAGGTGGAGGAGAAGAAGGAGGAGGAGGAGAAGCAGGAGGAGGAGGAGGAGGGATAGGCAGACAGGTTGCTGCATGTCTCTCCAGCTCTCGACCCTCGCGTTGCCAGACAGTGACACCGGTCCCCTCCGCATGGGAGTGCAGCAGGTGGCCTCCAGGTGTTCCACCTGGGAATCCAGCCGCGCACATTGCCAGCTTTTTGATAGGTGTGTGGGTGCCCTGGGCGGGCAGAAGGGGGGGACAGAGAGAGAGGGATAGGGAGGGAGGAGAGGAGGGGACATAGAGGGATAGGAAACAAGCTGGGTGTGCTCGCGCAATCTCCGACATCATGCCCCTCCCACCTATCCCTTCCCATTGCGCTGTTTCTTCTCTATCCGCCGACGGGCGTCATAGGGGACCTCGGACCCCCGACATCTCCTCCATCGTGTTATGCGCAATCCGAAGCAGGAAAGACCAAGCACCAAACCTGGGAGTCCTGTGTGCTGGGACACAGGAGAGCACACGGGGAAGGCGGGGCACTTCCGAGAGACGCAGATAGGGGAGGGAACGAGAGTAGTATTACCTGTGTGTTGTAATCGTAGGATGAGGAGTGCGGATGGGAAGGCTGAGGAGGAGGAGGAGGGTGTGGAGGAGTAGGAGTAGGAGAGGGGAGAGAGAGAGAGAGAGAGAGAGCAAGAGAGCGCGAGAGAAGGAGCAATAGCATCCGCCTCTTCATGGTCCATCCTCGCTACACCGCGCTGGGCGGGATGCCACAGCAGCGCGGCGCGCGGCGTGCTTCTCCCCAACGACGTGGCCTGACACTCGCGCCCCGTGCTGCCCCCACCCCTCGACCTCCGCCGCCGAGCCCGCTGTCGAAGGGGGAGCTCGTCGTGCGCCCAGGCGCCCTCGAGCAGCCAGAAGTGCCAAGAGTGCGCCGCCGGCGCCCCCCCCCGCGCACCTGCCCGGAGAGATCGGAGGGCCTGATTTTTGTCGAGACGGGGCACCCGAGAGTCTCGACCCATTCCCCAGGGTAGGCTTTTTCCCTGGCGTTGCAGTTTCTTCGCAACCCGCGTTTTCGCTCAATTTCGGGCCGCGAGGCCCTCACAGATCGGGGATAGGGTCTAGGGCTGCAGTCGTGATTTTCTACGATGTTGCAATTTTCCGCTACGTCGCATCTCGGGGTCGTCCGTGAAGGGGCGGTCCTTCTCAGAAGGCTCGGAAGTCCCCTGGCCTTCTGAGAAGTTTTCTAAGCCTTCCCCGAAGACACAGAAAGCTTCTCAGAAGCCGCGAGGGCTTCTGAGAAGTCCAGCCGCCTTCTGAGAAGGCCTTCTCTTTCTCGCTGCCGACGAAAGTCTCGACCCCTTCCCTAGGGCAGGCTTTTCGCCCAGAGCCGGTGGTCTTCGGCGGTCCTCAGGGCCCGGCTTCCTTTTTTTGTTATCGTTTTTGTTTTTTGCCCATGCGTAGGAGGTCTGGGAGTCGGACCAACCTGTCCTCGCAGCTTCGTGGCAACTGCCCATCTTTTGGCGCGCGCGCGCGCCAGCTGAGCCGACTCAAAAAAGAAGTAATCGCATCGGGCTTCCAGGCCAAGACGCACTTCCGAAAAACATGGCGCGCACAGGCACTTGTGTTCCGTCCTCGCACGCACGGGCGTTGGAGGCCTGGTCTTCGCCCCGCAGCCTGCGCGCGTGCACCAGCGCCCTGCTGGCCGCTGGCGGTCTGGCCCTCTCGCCTGGCCGCCGCCTGCAGGCTGTACGTCGCTGCCTCCCGCCGCTCGCGCGGGCGCCTTCCAGGGTCCGTCGGGCGGCGAGATCCGCACGCGCCCGCCGCCGCCTCGCCGTGAGACGCGCTCGCCGTGAGACGCCTCGACGGGCGGTGTTGGCCGCTGCTCGGCCTCCGCCGTGCCCCGGGGCCGCCAGAAGACGGCGCGGCCCCGGGGCAGCGGGTCGGGACCGCTGGGGGCCGCGCACAGCGAAGAAGTCCAGGCATCTCCTGCCTGGGCCTGGCCAGGCTCGTCGTGTGGGGCCCAGGCCTGGCGCAGCACGCCGCCCTGGCCCCCGGGGGAGCGCACGGGCGCCGCGCTCGTGGCGCCCGTGTGCCGGGCCTGGCCAGGCCCGCTGGGCGCGTGCAGGTCTCGCTGCCCTGCTGCGTGGAGCGCTGGCGGCGCTCGGGCTCCGGGCTGAGGGAGCGAGGCGGGCTCGCAGGAGCCCAGGTGGTCGAGGACAAACGCGACTGCTACCCCCCTTCCGGGAGGGCCTCGATCTGGTCCCGATGGTCTTCGAGGCCGGGGTCTCGGCCGTCCGACGAGGCAGTGAGCTTCGTACGCAGCCGCAGTGCCTCTCGTGATGGCGCCGGCGGCTCGGAGCTCCCGAGTCGGATCTGGCGGGACATCTCACGCACCCTCCAACACGGGAACGCGGAGATGATCCTGATCGCCTTGGGGCGGTGAGGGGCAGCTGGCTGCTTCCGCGGCTCCCACCACCAGCGGCCCCAGCACGACAGCCGCCAGCAGCAGTATATCACCACCTCCAGCACGACTGCCACCTTTCCCACTGCCGCTGTTGCCACCACGGTCACCAGCACGCCCACCACGATCACCACTTTCAACCCCGCCGACCACCGACGCCGACCACCGCAACCGCCGACACCACTAGCGCCTGGGGCCCAGCAACTCGACGACGGCAGCACCGCGACAATCACCCCGACTGCCACCGCGCCGGCGGCCACCACCGCCACTCCGACTACTACGACTTCACCACCACGCCGCCTTCCACGGCCACCAGGGCGTCATCCACGACCGCCCCGCCCAGACCCCCCTTTTCCTCTTCCTGTCCTCCCCCTGCCGCTCCTGCCAGGCCGTGCCTGCATGCCTTTCTCCAAGCATATTCAAGTTCATTATCTTGCGCCTTTCATGGCCAGGGCTGGACCTAAGCGGTGTTTTGGCGATTTCGTGGGCCCTTTTCGGTTCGATTTCGTTTTGCGATAAAGGCGGATTGAAGACGAAACGAGGGAAAACGAGAACAGAACGAAAACAAAGAACACCGTTTAGGTTCAGCCTGTGCATGGCTAGGGACCCGGGACCATAACCCCATCGCCCAGGGGTCCTCCTTTTTGACGGTGGTGGGGACCCACTCGGGTGCCCCCAGCCTTTTTGCGAGGAGGAGGAGGATGAGGATGAGGATGAGGATGAGGATGATGATGATGATGAGGAGGAGGAGGAGGAGGAAGAGGAGGAGGAAGAGGAGGAGGAGGAGGAGGACGAGGAGGAGAAGGAGGAGGAGGAGGAGAAGGAGGAGGTTTCCCGCCGTTTTTGGTCTTCCTGGGCCCTCCCCAGGCCCCGGGACCATCAGATAACGGCTCGGGCCGAGACGCTGGTCCCAGGGGAGAGCCCCCAGGTCCAGGATCCGATCAGGTCCCTGCTCCTTCACGGCAATCCTCCCTCCACGCGGCCACCCTTTTTCCATCTCGCTGCCACAGTTACTCCTCCTACTCCTCCCCGTTTCTGCTCCTCTTCTTTCTCTTCTTCTTCTTCTTCTTCTTGTTCTTCTTCTCGTTCTTCTTCTCCGCCTTGTCCTTTTCCTCCTTCTTCTTCTTCGTCTTCTTCGTCTTCTTCTTCTTCTTCTTATTATTATTATTCATTCATTCACCTCCTGTCGAAAGTCTCGTCTTGTTTGATAGTGACGACATCCCTGCACGGCCTCAGTTTTTTGGCTCAGCGGAGCCTTTAGACTCAACGCGCTGCTCTCTTGGAGAGAGCCGCCCGTATCTTCAGCACTATGTACCGCAACCTCCGCCCCGCTCCCCTGAACATGGCCCTGGTGCCTGGGCTGCACCTGTCGACGTCCAAGAGCAGCACGTACCAGGACCTCCGCCCTGCTTCCCTGGACATGGCTCTGGTGCCCGAGCGGCACCTGTCGACGTCCAAGGGCAACACGTACCAGGACCTCCGCCCTGCTCCCCTGGACATGGCTCTGGTGCCCGGGCGGCACCTGTCGACGGCCAAGGGCAGCACGTACCGGGACCTCCGCCCTGCTCCTCTGAACATGGCCCTGGTGCCCGGGCTGCACCTGTCGACGGCCAAGAGCCGTCCGCTGACGCCGTGCGAGGACGCCAAGACGTGCTCGTCGAACCACTGCGGCTCGATGCAGCACTGCCGCTCGCTCAGCAGCCGCAGGACGTCCGTGGACGGGGAGAGCCTCGTGTCCTTCGGCGTCACGGACGAATCGAGGAGCAGGGCTGGATTTAAACGGTGTTTTTGGTGATTTCGTGGGCCGTTTTCGTTTCGACTTCGTTTTGCAGTAAAGGCGGATTCGAGGCAAAAGCGAGGGAAAATGAAAACAAAACCAGAACGAAAAACACCGTTTAGGTTCAGCCCTGTCGAGGAGCGTGCTGCTGGGGGCGGGCCACCAGGACGTCGGCTCCGACCCCGGCTCTCCCAGCTCGTCCGCCTGCAGCGGGCCCCCGTCGCCGCTCTGCGGCGCGCCGGTGAGGACCTGGGTGCGAAAGAGCACGTGCACGTGCGCTGGGCCTGGCCAGGGCGTTCCTGGTCTCCCCCCAGACATGATCGCGTTGTGACAAGAATCACGACGGGAGGTTTGTCGCTATTTTCGGCCTCCGGGGGAGGGCCTCGGGACCGTCAAAAAACGACTCAGAACGAAAAACCGGTCCTGGGGAATGGGTCGGGACTTCTGGGGGTCGCGTCATGAAAAAGTCATGACGTCGGGGGTCTGGGTCTCCCAGGATCGGTGCCCAGACATGCGACATCCGGATTTTTGTTCAATGCGGGGCCCCTGGAAGTCCCAACTTTCTTTCCCCGGGACCGGCTTTTCCTCCCGTGCCGTTTCCTGACGCTCCCGAGGCCCAGCGAGGGCCCCCCCGAGGCCGAAAGCAGCCAAAAGCCTCCCGTCCTGATTTTTCTTCGACGCGGTCATGTCTGGGTGCGTGTGTGAGCGACGCCCCGACAAAAACACGGAGTCGTCTGCGCCGGCATTGGCGCGCAGGCTGCCCGCGCCAGGCCGCGCGTAGGAGCGCCCTCGTCTCCAGTGTGGAGGTGCCGCGCCCGCGGCCCGCGTCGGCCGCCGCGTGAGGTCGAGCCACGCCACCTCGCGCAAGGCCCGCGGTGTGGATCGTCGCTCCTCCGTTTCCCTGGCCGCGCCAGGGGTGCGCGTGCGCCGTTTCCCTGGGCCCGGGTGTGGACCAGGCCAGGGTCGTCGGCGCGCCGGCGCGGGCCAGACGTCGGGCGTCCCTGGCCCGAGGCCCGGACCCCCTTCGGGCAATGAGAAGATCACGGGGCGGGAGGCCTCCCGCTGTTCTCGGCCTCCGGGGGCCTTCGCCTGGCCCGGGGACCGCCCAGAACGACTCGGGATGAAAGACCGGCCCAGGGAAGCGGGCTGACCCCTCTGGGACTCGACGCTGTGCACAGGTCAGGACGTCGGGGGCCTGAGGGGCGCGCCCCTGCCAGGATTCCCAGGGTGGCCTCCGTGGTCTCCGGAGCGCTCCTCGCGAGGCCCATGGGGGGGCTCCACCACGGGCCCCCCCCCCCAAAATGTGCGGCAGGCCGAAGACGCCCGAGGCCCGGGCCACCTCTGGCAGCACTCGAGGGCGGCGGCGAAAGCCGAGCCCTACTGCCCTCGCCGACCAACGACTCGGGCAACTCGATGGGCCCTGCGGTCCTGGCCTGGCAATTTTTTTTACAACTGGCGTTTTCGCTCCATTTCGGTCCCCAGGACCCTCGCGGATCGATCTGGCTCGACAGATGACGCAGAAAGACGGGGTCAGGGCTCTGGCCGTGATTTTCTGCAGTGTTGCAATTTTTCGCAAACGTCGGATCTCAGGGTAAGGGGGTAGGGCTCGGAGTCTGTCGAACACGTGGCGAGATCCGAATCCTACCCCCGCCTCCCGGGAGATTCGAGGGGTGATGCCAGACCCCCGACGTCGTGTTTCCTCCGCAGCGTCGACCCCCCGAGGTCTGGACCCCTTCCCCGGGACAGGTTCTTCATCCCGAGTCGGCCTCTGTCGCTCCCGAGGCCTGGTAGGGGCCCCCCGAGGCGAGAAATAGCGAGAAACCTCCCGCCAGGATTCATTATTATTATGATTGTTATTATTATTATTGTCAGTATTATTATTATTGTTATTATTGTTATTATTATTACTATTATTTTTATTATTATTACTATTCTTAGTATTATTATTACTATTCTTATTTTTTTGTTCTTTTTTTAAATCGCGAGGGAGCCCAGGTTCGGAGGTCGCCTCACCGAGGCGCCACCTCGCCGGGCCGCCGGCGGCCCGCGGCTGCCGACCAGGGCCTGCGGCGGGCGGCGCCGCACCGCCCTCGCCGCTCCAGCGCGCGCGGGTGCTGACGAGGCGCTGGCTCGCCGAGCTGCAGGCGGCGAGCGGCGGCGCGGCGGGCTGGCGCGAGCGACGAGCCCGACGACGGCGACGACGACGGCGACGCCGACGACGGCGGCGACGCCGGCGACGACGGCGACAACGCCGACGCCGACGCCGACGCCGACGCCGACGCCGACGACGAGCTGCAGGCGGCGAGCGGCGGCGCGGCTGGCTGCCGCGAGCCCAGCTCGCCCGTCGGCAGCATGCTGCTGAAGGCGAAGCGCCGCCACGCCCGCGCCCGCGGCCTCTAGGCGCTCCCGCGCCGCCCTCGCCCTCGCGCGCGCGCGCGCCCAGTGCCTGCGGAGCAGGGCTGGGGCGTCGTGGCGCGGTGGTGTGCGCAGGGGCTCCGCCGCGGCAGCGCGGTACAGTGCGCTCGTCGGCGAGATCTCCCGGGCGGGCGGGTGCGGGGGGAACTGCTCTTGAGTCGGGCCTGTCCCTCTACAGGAGGAGTATTCAGATATAGTCAGAAAATAGTCCGACGACGATTTATCGCTTCTGTTTTGATTACTTGGGGGGTATTGTTTGACTGTTTTTTTATGTTTCGTCCAAGATCCGCCTGTAAGGGGACATGCCCGACCTAAAACTACCCTGAGATCCTGGCGTTGCCCTCTTTTTTTTTTTTGTTTTTGTTTTTTTTTCTCTTGTATATATATGTATATATATATATATATATATATATTTCTTTTTCACAACGGGCGTTGTCGCCCCAGCTCGGGCCCCGGGACCCTCACGGATCGATTTGGCTCGAGAAGTGACGCAGAAAGATTGGGTACGGGGGTCCAGGCTCCAGTCGTGATTTTTTGCGATGCTGCGAATTCGTCGGATCTCAGGGTGCCTAAGGTCTGCCCCGCGTCACCGTCTGCTTGGATGCTTCTGTTTACCCCGCCAACGGCCTCCGAAGCTCCGAGGCAGTCTAAAGCACGCTTCGCTTCTGTACGCGTTTCCAGTCTTCGTAATCTTAAGTCGGGCCTGTCCCTCTACAGGAGGAATATTCAAAAATAGTCAAAATATAGCCTGGGGATTTGTTTGGACCATTTTTAGGGCATTCTTCTGGTTTTTATTTTTCGTCCGAAGTCGGCCGGTAGGGGGACAGGCCCGACCTAGTCGTAATCCGACGGGCGCAGCAAGCGGCGCATCGGCAAGGCCTCTTCGGGCCCGGGCCCCCGACGTCGCGCTTCCTGGCCGCACACAGGCTCCCTAGAGGGTCTAGACCCTTGCCTTTGGAAGCAGCCTTCCATCCCGAAGCGTTCCTTGACGGTTCTGCGCCGGCTGGTGAGGGCCTCCAGGGGCCGAAAATCCCCCCCCCTTCCGCCGTGATCTTCTGTGGGCCGCAGCGAGAGGGCAACGGGGAGAGACGAGCGGCACGGGGCAGGACGGGAGTTCCCCCCCTGCGGAGACCTCTGTGGTGACTGGGAGCGGGAGGAGGAGGAGGAGGAGGCGGAGGAGGAGGAGGAGGAGGAGGAGGAGGAGGAGGAGGAGGAGGAGGAGGAGGAGACGAAGAATCTGCATAAACGTCACACTTTCGGAGGTCCGCGCGGATTTCTGGGGTCGGTGCTGGATGCCCCTTGGCAGCGCCCCTGGCGCCACCCCGGGCGCGCTCTGCGCTCCAGGAGGGGGGGTCCTCCGCAGACCCAGGAAATCCGCGCGGATCTACGACAGTTAGTGTTTAGGCAGCTTTTTGTTTCCCAAGGGATAGTCCAAGCGGGGCGCTGGCCTAACACTTTTTTTGGCATCGTCTTGTCCCCACCTGGATTTGCCAGGGAAGGGGACTGGCTCCGACTGCCCGCGCACAAGGCGGTGCTCTCCGCTATACGGACTGCAGCGAAAGCTCTCGCTGCGAGGGTCGAACTTGGAATGCTCCGCGGGTATCGAGGTTGGCCGATGGCCCTCACGCCTCCCCCCCCCTTCTCACCAGGTCGAGAGTGGAGCACGCCGCGAAATCGAGCGTGCTGTTGCCGGAAGCGGGTGTCATCCGTGCCGCGCCGCTTGCTGCTCTGGGCGTGGGAGCTGGTACGGGCCGCTCTCTGGTTCTCGAACAGAGGCCCGTGCTTCCCGGCTCTGGGCCGACACTGGGTTTGTCCTCCCTCCTCCCTCCTCCCTCCTCCCTCAAATGTGCCTGGGATCGGTCTTCTATCAACACTTGCTGACTGTATGTGTGTGTGTGTGTCTTTGACGTGTGGCCAAGGTGCATGCAGTGGACTTCTTGGAATTGCCAATGGTCGCATGCACCGGACCGCTGCGCTGGTGCGCATGGTACCTTTGCTCTGACTGCTACTGCTGTTGACGCGACAGAAAGTGACTTTGACAAGGGAGTCGGATGACGCTGGTGTAATCGAACGCACGGGAGGGATCTCACCAGATTAGTTTCGCAGGGCAAGTCGCGTCACAAACTGTCGAGGGCCGCTGCCTGAGTGTACAGATCGATCCTTCGCTCTCGTGGCGCGCTTCACGTCGGAGTTGGGTACACATCCGACTGAGGCTACGAGCTCCTTGTGCGCCCTTGACGCGTGGCTAAGTGGCATGCAGTCTGCACCTTGGAATTGCCAATGGTCGCATGCACCGAACCGCCGCGCTGGTACTTATTATGCCCATGCTCTGGCTGTAAGTGTTGCATCCGTGACAGGGAGTGACCGTAATTGAGGGATGCGCAGGATCTGACCACAGGCGTTTCGCGAAGCAGGTCGTGTCACAACCTGTCGACGGCCGCTGAGTAAGTGTACAGTTTTTTGATTCGCTCAGGTGGCAGGCTTCAAGCCGAAGTCTTTTACGACCTCGACCAACGCTCCGAGCTCCCGCTGCGCCGCCATCCCAGCTAAAACCATCTAAATCTTAGGAGACGTTGATGCCCTTGCGAAGGGGGGCAGAGCGAGCTCTGAACCTCTCTGTGCGTGCTCTGTGGACAGCGTGCTGACATTCTGGTGGACCTCTCAGCGGAGACGACGCGGCGGCCAGTTACGCCATTGTTGGATCTTAGTTTGGAGCCTCTTGGGAACCTCTGGCGGGTGTCGTGAAGCGTGATAGCCTGAGGCCCTCTGAGTGCTGTCGTGGAGGGCACCTGAACCCTTTTGATCGAGCTCGCTGGGATCTGCCGTTGTACAAGTTCAGCCCGGCAGGCAGGCGGTCACATCATGTAGCATAGCAGCTTTCAGCTGTCAAGGTTGAGCGCCCATCGAAGTGTCGGGAAATGGTTTGAGGCCCACAGGGTCGTCCAGGTGCAATGATTGAGCATCTTGTTTGGGCAATCGTTTGCAGGATCACCACGAAATCTCCCAGGGCATCACCAGGCCTCGTGGAACCCATAACCTCAGAGGGTCGTTGATGCTGCCGCCCCCCCCCTCAAAGCTCCCGATTGGCAATAAGATTCGTCCTTCCCCTCCTCGTCCTTCCCTCTTCCTCCCACGCGATGGGCGTCTCCTGCTCAGCCTCTGTGCAAGTGGAGAAGGAGGAGGGTGAGGAGGCGGCGGCGACTATGACGACGGCGGAGGCATGAACGGTGGCTGCCGCGGAGGCATGAACGGAGGCATGAACGGCGGCGGCATGAATCTTTAGCTTCCAAGTGTTGTTCGGGGTCCCAATCCGTCAACACGCGCGTAAAACACACACACACATGTTTGAACATACATCTATATACATATATGGGAGATCCTGGGCCCCGGGCCCCGGGCCGGGACCTCCATTGTATTTCGGTGCCCCCCCCCCCTGCGGCCCTGCAGCTTTCCTGGAAGCCCGGGGCCTCCCTGAGGCGTCCCCGGACCCTCCCCGAGGCCTCTCCGGCGCTTCTATTGGGTTACCGGGCAGCCCAAGATGGCGCCAAAACGGCTCAAGAAGCCTCCAAGACGCTCCACGACGGCTCCAGAGGCCTCCAAAGACGGGCCAATAGGCCTTCAGGAGGCACCCCAAATAGGCGCCAAGAGGCAAACATCATTGATTTTCTATAGGAAAACGTATATATATATATATATATATATATATATTCAGCAGATACATTTTTTTTGGCATCCACGGCGTTGAAGACGGTCGAAGAGATCCCTACGATCGCCCCAAGACGGCCCAAGAGGTTCCCAAGAGGCGCCCAAGACGGCCCAAGAGGGCGCCAAGACGGCCCAAGAGGCTCCCAAGACGGCCCAAGAGGGCCCCAAGACAGCCCCAAGAGGGGTCCAAGACGGACAGCCCCAAAAAGGCCCCATGATGCCCCAAGAGGCCCGGCCCCCAAGAGGGCCCCAAAAGGCCCCCAAGAGGCTTCCAAGGGGCGCTTAAGAGGCCCCAAAAAGGCCCCAAAGAGGGCCCAAGGGGCACGGGCGGCGGAAAGTCGGCGAAGGCAGTTTCGATACCATGCCGGGCCCGGCGCATGGGAGGAGGAGCGGGAGGAGGAGGACTGGGAGGAGGGGGATCGGGAGGAGGACAAGCTAATTAGGTGCACTCGCGTCATATCTAACGTCCTACCTTTCCCCTCCATCCCTTACCATCCGGGATCAAAGTTGCCCCAAGTGCCCTCTTGAATCGACGACGACGACGAAGACGACGAAACGACGAAGACGAAGACGACGACGACGACGACGACGACGACGACGACGACGACGGCGTGCCCCAAGAGGCGACGACGACATTGCGACGACGACGACGGCGACGACGGCACGCCCCAGCAGGCTCCCCAAGACGCCCCCAAACCCATGCTCCCGCAATGTCTTTTGGGAAGCCCGTTAATCAGGCATCCGCCCCCCGACGCAGCCATCCTCCCCGAAAGCCTTCCAGAATGCGGATTGACACGCATGGACTTCTCACTGCCCATACTGCGTTCAGCGTTGTGGGCAACTTACTTCCCGCTCAGACCATCTGTGGTCCACTTACTTCAGTGGAGCAGTGCACTCGTCAAGGCCTGGGGTCTGCTAGAACCTGAGCGCGCGCGAAGCGCGCGCGATGGTTCTAGTATATA